AAAAAGAGGCCGTGGTGGTAGGCTGAAACATGTGGGCAATGCCAATCACAAACCAATGGAGCGCGTTCTGCGGCAGCGGGGTCCCCCGCCGCGGAGAAATGTTTAATAAAGTGCGCAGCCACACGCCCGGGCGGCAGGGCTGTGCTGTGCCTGTGTATACACTGATAAACTAAGTGCGCAGCTGATTCACACTTTTGTAAGTGTGAAACTCCTCTGTTGAACACCTCCTTAGATTTAACGCTCACTGGGTTGGGTGGGAAGTGCTAGGCGAGTTGCACACTTGCAAGTGCACACCTACACCGAGTTGAACACTTTGCAAGTGTATAATAACTACACTTGCAAGTACGTTTCCAACTTGCAGTTGTGCAGTTGCTAAAGTTAAGCAGTTGTACTCTACTTGTTTTATCAGTGTACCGGGTGTAACTGTGAATGCGCAGCAGTGTTGCGGGATTGCATACCCGCCAGGGCTGCAGGGGCCATGGCCCCTTACGGGCGAATTGGGTAGGCGAACCCGCAACACTGCTGCGCATTCACAGTTACACCCGGTACGTGTGGTGTGGCCCGTCCCCGCCCAGCAGACGGCTCCTCTTAGAAATGTGACTCGTCGAAGGGGGGCAAAAGAGGTGGGTAATTTATTTGGGAGCTGTGTTCTTTCCAGTCAACTCAAGGCGGTCCGGGGTACACAACCTATCGATTCGGAACCTGAGGTGTGGGGCTCGACTTCCCTCCAAGGTCCGGTCCACCACTGGTTGCATCATCCTCTCGGCGGCCAACAGCACCCGGCACCGTCTCGCCGCTCTCGCTAACGAGCGCCCTCACCTCTGCCAGTGTGAAAATAATATCATTACTCGGAGTGTGATTACGGCTCCACGCCTGATTGCTGATTAGAGGAGATCGATTTCGACGAAGGAAAAGCGTCGAGCAGGGATCCCTCCGGTCAGACGCGGCGGGGAGAGAAAGGAGGGAGGGGGCAGCGGGTGAGTCACCCAGCCTTGGGCCACTCCA